CTCTCTACCACCAGCGGTAGTGTGCATATGCCCGGTTAGCTTCGGCCATCTTGTGAAGGTCGTGTTTGCGTTTCACTACGTTTCCCTCGTTAGCGAAGGCGGCCAGCAGCTCCTGCGAGAGTTTCTCGTACATGTGTGTGCGACGGTGCTTGTTGTCTCTGCATTCTGTGATCAGCCACTTCATGGCCAGAAAACGCCGCCGATTATCCGTGAGAGGGACGGGCACCTGCAAGACCAATAATTCAGAGTAAGATTCAGTAAAACTTATTTATTTAGACCAGCTTTTAATACCTAGCAATGTTGTGATATCGTCATGTATTTTATGGTTTATTATTTTACCTATTTTGCTGTAGCCAATTATATTTTTGTTTTTACTGTATTATTTTTTTGCTCTTGTTGGAAAGCACTTTGGTCACCTTGAGTGTTGTAAAGCGCTATAAAAATAAATGTTGATTAATTGATTGATCTTCTGTTACAGAGCTTTGATGTTGTTCCTGGAGCTTGACTGTATTGGTTGTTTTATGGAAAAGATCTGCTTTTGAAAACTGCAATTGTGTTTCACAGAAGAAAGCAAGTCATGCAGGTTTGGAACCACATGAAGGTGAGTAAATGATGATAATTATTCACTTTTTGGATGAATTATCCCTATAAACATAAATAAAAATCACTCTGGATAAAAGGTTACAATTTAAAAAATATGAAATATTGTCCAAAATATGTGTAAACTGAATTCCCCACAACTTCATTAAATTGTATTTTCATATATAAATAACATATTATTAAATTGGCTATCAGTCACATTTCTCTCAAGATATTTCTATCAGTGTTGGCTGTTTACAAACCCTTTAGTTCAACACTGATTCTTGCATATCCACAAACATCTGACTCTATTATCTCAGAGTAGTGAAATTAATATTAAAGATTGTTCACTGACCTGATAAGATTTCCCTCCTTTCTGAACACTTGCCAGGCCAATGATGGGTTTGCAGTTCTCCAGGGCCTGCTGGAAGATGGTGTATGGATTGCACTCGATCTCTAGTCTCTTGGCTGCAGGAGATCTGTGGTATTTCTCCACCTGTTTTCTCTTCATAGTCTCCAGCGTCTAAACGGACACAAAGCATCCAAGCAGAAGTTACGTCGAGACTCATTTCAGGTAGTGTATTGAGATATTTTACAAGTGTATGCTAGCATAAATTTGGAGTATACATGTTTTGTAAACTACTCTTATGCTCAAGACTGCATTTTATTATTAAAAAAGAAAGAAAAACAAGAATATTGTGAAATATTACAATTTAAAATAACTTTT